GTAACTTCTACCGTAGAAAATCCTGCTTTTTCGAAACACTATGTCACAGTTTCTGGTAAGAACTTCTTTACTGCTTCACTTATCCAAATAACCGCACCTAGAACCGAGACAGTTCTTGCAAGTTCAGAGGCGGATGATGTAGAATCTATATTGACGAGCAAAGATTGCATTAATACAGTAATTTACAATAGTGGACCTTAACATTCCGAATGATGCCCTGATCCATTGGTTGAGAAACACTAGTGGTGTCTGGAGGGAACTAAGCAAGTCACACGTTGGAAAGTTCGATATGGGGGTCGTACATGTATGTTGCGTTATCCAAGAACAACAAAACATGCCGGTTTTGCATTTTCATTCTACCATTGAAGGCCATTAACCATGCCTCCATGATCTGTGACGTCATCCATGCCTTTTTGTTGGATCTCCACTCAGCCGGAAGTTTCTGCATGTCCATGTTTCGGAAGCATGGTGTCTTTGCTGCCTTGTCAATCACTAAGGTTTTCTCCATTTCACCTGACATAAAACCACATAGAAAAACAGTCAATCTTTCTTTGCACAGTTTTCCTCCCAAACATTTTTTACCTTTCAGACATAGCGATTTATTCGGAAGCGCGCGGAAGAACAGTCCAGTCTCATCACCGTTCGCTGTTTTCAGGTTCATATCCCTCGATTATGGATCGCAATTTAGCTTCCCATTCCTCAATGGTCTCACTATTTACATCACTTGATTCACCACAAAGTTCATTAAAAACTATCCGATGACTTTTGCAAAAACTTCCCAACCCTCCGTTAGATGCTTTGAATTCTGCCTTCCCCAGTTTTTCAGCACCTTTTTTAGCATATTCCTGTACCATAGGACCCGACAACCGGCGATTTTTCGCCCTCACACTGACACACCACTCCCACACTATTTCACTGACGTCTTCGTTTGCAGTTTTCTTAAGTTCTCTTTTTATTTTTCCATTAGCACAAGTTTCCCACCGCTTCAAAATTTCCGTTTTCTTCTTTAGAATCTCATACAGTTGAGTTTTACCGACGTTAAACATCTTCATGATCAGCTTAACAGACAATTTATCTCGCTCACTTGCATGAATCACTTTTAATCTTGTGATAAGATCAAGCACAACTCTTGTCTTTGTAGCCATGATGACAACTGCTAGACTAAAGTAAAACTGTAGGCCTAGAGCCCTTACTGAATACAATTTCCAGAAGGGGAAAACAATTCTGCTGAATCTCAGTGCAGGTAGTGCAGTAGCGTTAGAAGCTTATTTTAAAGAGTTAGGGAAAACAAAATTCTGTAGAATGTATAGGATGCCTAAAATTATTCTAAACGATGCATTCCGGAAGGCTGGAAATTTTCCGTATAAAGGCTTATTTTGATTTCCGTTGTCCGCGTTAGACAGTTTCCGTTTAATCCAGGTTATTTAACATCTTTTTCAGCCCCAAAGTCAAGGGACCTGAAAGTATTTCCGTTTAATAAAGGGTCCGTTTAAGGCAGGCGCTTACTGTATTTCGGATGACCCGATGTTCTGGGCACTATGACGTTAGTACCCCCCGCTCTCTCTCTCTGACCCAGCACACCGACCTGACTTCACCATCAAGACCATCAAGATCTCCCAAACTGTTGCGCCTGCCGCTTGCTACGTTACGTATTCCTAAGACTTTATTTTAAATTAACTAACACGAATGAGCAACATGTCTGCCATTGAAGTCATTCTGTGTGCTACTTTTTCCCTGATCGTATATACTGCGAATCGCGAGTCAGGGAGATTCTCATTAAGACTACCGTCTTCTAGGATTGCGAGGCCGTGCTGTTTGGTACATAGGTGTCATCGTTTCTGGGGAACCTCTTGCTTCCGTTTTTCAGGACAGAAGAGTCATTGTGACCTCTCATAGTTTAGAAATACCGACGTTTCAGAGGAATCTCCACGCTTCCATCTTCCTTGTAGAAGAGTGGGGCTTCTCACATGTATTCGAAAATCTTTTGGGTTTACTTCTTCAGGGCAGAACATGAGACGTTAGCCATGTAGTGTGTTAGATGTTTGCATGGAGGTATCTGATATCTCCATTAACGTTTCAGAGGAAAGTTCTGTCCCCATCTTCAGGGTTAGAATAAAAGTCTGACCATGTGTAGTTTACAAAATTGCTGGATGTGAATCCCAGAAGACAGTGATCTTTGTAAAAAAAAATGAGTGAAGTTGCCTGTGTCGCTACATCGACTGCGTTACTCCGACTCCCTCAGTAGCGTTTTTAGGCCTCAATATCAATTTAAAATTTCTCGCCCATCTCAATATATAGGCCCATACTGAAACATTTTAAGGAAAGAAAATGTAAGGAGATCTTCTCAGAGACCGTTGTTGCTACTGTTGACATTACTTTTAAAAGATCATACGGTAAAACCATAGCACTCAATATTAAAGTTAAAAACGTGTTTCTGAAATCTCTTTCGAATTTGTGAGAATGACGACCATGGCGAAAGACCACGAGTAATGCTTGTTGGCAGATCCATCTGCTGTGCAGAATTAGTACTACATGTACGCCAGCCTGTTCAGCGCTTTATCTGTGGGCCTGTGGGCTGTGGTACCACGACCATGAGAAGTACAAACGGTACAAACACCGAAGAGCGTTACGCGCGCAAATACATGCCAGTTGTTTAAGTACGACCATGAGAAGTACAAACGGTACAAACACCGAAGAGCGTTACGCGCGCAAATACATGCCAGTTGTTTAAACACGACCATGAGAAGTACAAACGGTACAAACACCGAAGAGCGTTACGCGCGCAAATACATGCCAGTTGTTTAAGTTGTGATATTCGTTACGGAATCATCATTAGTATCACTCGAAATAATTTCAATTGCCTCATATTTTGTCAAGTTTCTGGAAGAGATCGCCACTGGGGTTCGTGATATTCCGCTGTTGCAAGTTCTGCTTGGGATTCTTCTAAACTTCTCAGCGCCCTTTCTGAGAGTGATGTTTCTATTAGAATGCATATTGTTATTGTTTTTATACCTTTTCTCATGCGTTACACATACCGTTCCAACTTGTAAAGTAAGTCGTGAGAGCTGATGGTCTATGGTGAACTGATTAATGTTGCAGGGTATACAAATGCATAGTGAATAGTATTTAGTGGCACCGCGATGTAAATCTGTCGAGTAGGTTCTGGTGAACTAGCTGCCATTGAAACTGGGCAACAATCTGTTATACTACACAACGTGTAATAAGACACTGAGCTTCATAATCTCTGCCGGCACGTCAGTGTGTGTTTGTTCACAATAATTAGTACGTTTGCTTGCAGACTTCGACACTTATTCAGAGCTAGGCACTGGTACTCTTATAAGTAATATTATGCTATATCACTAGGATTCTTGTAAATGAATTCATTTGCCACCCACAATTCATCATGTGTGATAAAATAAAGTTTCAAAGTTATGAAAGATTCTGCTTTCTCTTGCAACAGTAATGCCGATAATTCTGCTACAGAGAGGCGAAGAAACATTTCCTGCTGTGACAGAAAGGATGGTGAGTGTTTTGTGCTTGTGTGCACAGACAAGAATTTTATTGTCAATTCTCATATCTTAAGAAACTGCACTTTTTATGCCAAGCTTGTATTTGTTCTTATAATTATAATAATAATAGATTGATTATAATCAATCTAGGGAGTTTACTTCATTCTTCATATTATCATCATCATCATCATCAGTAATCTGTCAGACGACAGGTCCACCGTCTCTTCCAAAACAATTCCTCCACTTAATGCGATCTAGAGCTTTCTCCTTCAAATGACAGTATCCTCTTCTGTCCCCAAGGTCATATTATAACAATTTTCATTATTATGTGGGAGAGGGATCAATTCAAAGAGAGTGATATTGGTAGGTCATGTAGTGCACATGTGAGAGTGAGATATGTGTACAGAGTTTTTAACAGAAGACCTGAAAGAATGAGACCACTTGGGAGATAATTGTGAAGATGGATTTTGTTATATTTTAGCGCCCTGTTGCACTGATTTTCATGCATGATATGTATACAGTTGCCGTCTTGTAGTGCACTCAATTTCACCTGTTACTTCACGATATGTTTTGGCAACATAGTGCCATCTTCAGGTGCCCTAATTACACTAATCTATTTCATTGTTTGCCTTTATAAAATTATTTTAAAAGTACGTATTTCTCAACTATAATAAATTTACACACTCTAAAACTTGTTAAGATTATTCATCTTATGTGTCATAATTAAAACTTGCATGTGGTTCTTCCACTAAGGGGGGGTCGTTTTTCTTATATTCTGTGTAAACCGTGTCACATGGTGTGTGTTCCCTTCTTAGCTGCAAGTGTTGTTGCTAAGAAGGGAACATATACCACAAGACACGGTTTACACAGAATATAAGAAAAACGACCCCCCCTTAGTGGAAGAACCACATGCAAGTTTTAATNTAATCTCAGTTCTGACTGATATACTATTTCTGTATTATTAAAAAATATTTGTGGTCTTAACGGATCTCTCCACTGTTTTGAATGAAATGACATGGCAGATGTCTTTTTAGTATTTATTATAAGGTTATTTTTTTGAAACCATATTTCTAATTCTTTCATAATGTTCATTATTTTATATTGAAGATCAAGTTCATCTTTTCCAGTAATTAACAAATTGGTATCATCTGCATATAAAACCAGCTTTGCTCCTTGAACATTTTCTGTGAGATCATTAATGTATAGTAAAAATAAAAGTTGCCCCAACACTGATCCCTGTGGTACACCATACTTCACTTTCCTACAGGATGAATTATAACTGGTTTTGAAAGTATGTCATATAGGCCATTATCTAAGGCCTCCTGTATACATTCAATAAAAGACTGACTTGCTGTGTCAGTTGATTTATTCTTTCTGAAGCCATTTTGGGCCTCTGTTAATATATTATTTTGAATTAAAAACGGCATTAGCCTATTATACATCAGTTTTTCTAATCTTTTGGAAAAGGCCAATAAAATGGCTATTGGTCTGTAGTTTCTAATATCATGATATTCCCCTTTTTTATGCAGAGGTATCACTTTAGCTAATTTTAATCTTTCTGGGAAGGTGCCTGAGCTCAAAGAGGCCAGTGGTCTTTTTACATAATTTATACATTTTTTAACACGATATTCTGGTATCTCGTCATATCCTGCAGATAATGTACCTTTTAGACTATTTGTTACACACTCTATTTCCTATTCAGTGACTGGATGGAAAAATGTGGTATTAGAGCAGCAGTTTATCCTTTGTTTCTCCCACTGTGTGTTTTTGTTATTTTTGTTTTTTTGACTTAAAAGGTCATTAACTATTTCAACAAAGAAATTATTTAACATATCTGCCACACAATCCTTAGGAAGTAATGGAACTGTTCACAGTTGGTTACTGGTACACTTGTTAGAACAAAGAATTTAAATTACTGGGACTCTTGTAAGCTAATTCCAGTGAACCCCACAATATATTTATCATGTGATGAGCAGGTTTCAAGGTTACAAAAGGTTCTGCGCTCTCTTGCAAGAGGAGTGGCAAGAATTTTACTGAATAGAGCTGAAGAAAAGTTTCCTGCTTTAAGCGAAAGGACTGTGAGTGTTTCGTGCTCATGTGCACAGACAAGAGTTTTATTGCTGTATTTCAGTTGTCTTGGCCAAAGAAACTAAATATTTTGTGACACACTTCTGTTTGTTTGCATAATCCATGTGGGGAGTTCCTTACACTTGGGTGATAACGGTTTGGGATATTATGCAGAAGAGCAATGAGTTCAAGGAGAGTGATGTGGCTAAGTCATGTAGTTTTGGACGGAAAACCTGAGAGAAGCAGAGCAGTTGGGAGACCTAAGTGCAGATGGAGAGATGCTGATAAGATAGATTTTAAAGAAATAATTTGGAAGGGTTTGTACTGGGTCTGTTTGCCTTAGGATACAGAGCCATGATGAGCACAGTAATGAGTCCTTTCTGGCTTTCTCAACATATCCTGTATGCATTCCTCTTCGCCATGCCTGCTATATGAGCTGCCCATCTCATCCTCCTTAACTTGATCATATAGTTATGCTTGGTGAACGAAGGTTACAAATTTTGCAGCTCCTCATTATGATGTTTCTAGGTACCAAAAAAGCAGATATTTTCTATACTACCACAGTGACCAATAGTTCCATGGGAAGGTGACTGTCCTATGAGCTGCGTACTTTCTAGTGCTCATGATAGCTGTAGAGAAGAACATCTGTACAAAACAGCTCTTATGGGTTAGATGTGATGAGAAACAGCCATGGCAAGGAGAGCATTCGCTGGTTAATGTAGGGTGTTGTGCATCCATTTCTGAGAAGGTTGTGATGGTTTTACAGAACTGTACAAATTCGGAGGACGCTTTAGTGGGTCTGTATGGTGAGACATACCCAGCACCTCATGATGCAGATCAGGCCATGAATGTGAGAGCTGAGGCAGTCTCAGATGCAGAAGAGGAAGAGGATCCTGCCCCAATAACTTTTCCAGAAATAAACGCTGAACCTGAGGTGAGCTGTATGTGCACTGTTACAGGAAAAATCCTTCACATTTTCCATGTCTGTCCAATCCAGTAAGCAGTGCTTTGGTACTACATCATAGAGTTCCCAGGATCTATAAATGCTGAAGTTTATCATTTGTTTTCTGTCTCCCTTGCAGTCTGTATCCATGTAATAACATAGAGGTGTCATTGTGTTGAGGATTTGTAACAGGTAACTAATGATTCTCTGAAGGTTTGTGACAATGTGTGACATAGACACGTGTTCCCAGTTGTCCTTTATTTGAAGTAAATTTAATATATCTGACACCGTTGGAGTTGACTCTGTACCTGCTGTCAGGTGATTGGTTGTCATTACAGATTTTTTTGTTGTTTTCTATCAGACAGAAAGGTGACTAAACATTAGATACAGAGAATGTGTAAAAGGTGTAGAAAGCAATAGTGAAGAATTGGCATTGGCAACCCATTGTAAAATATACATGCAATTGTGTTGAAGTGGAATATACAATGCATGTAATTAAACACATAAATAAGGCTATTAATGAACATCAAAGATAATTTCTATATATACATATAGATGGAGGATCTTACTTTTCTAGCTCTGCGTTTCACAGCAACTGATGCACTGCTGGCTGCAAGGCGCATACAAATTTTGCCAATGAATCAGTAAGCTTGAGACCAGTAACATGTGGATTGAAGTATACAATTCACAAGTCACAGAAGGTGTTGAAAATGCTGTCTCCCTACATGTAGGCATTCCTTGCACCAGCATAAGGGGTTCTAATTAACCCTTAAAGTTATTCTGCTGGAATTTTTGCAATTTCCCTATGAATATCTCTTTTAGTTCCTCCTCATGGGGTTTACTGTTTTAAACTTTGTCCTGCAAAGAACTACAGAAGAAAATACAGGGTTACTGCAAATGATTCATTCCATTGCAAAACAATATTTTCCAAAATATTACACATACAAATATGATTGATACATGAAAAGAACCATAAACTCAACTACCGATACCACCGCAAGAATGCTCTGTTTCCATGGTGGTTCTTTACTGTGCTCTGCTCTGAATGCACGCTGCACTGCAATAACAGATGAACATCTCTCATATTCCAACACACAGAAACTCTTTTCCAGCTTCATCACCATTTTGTGAGGCACTGCACTCATGCTGCCAACTGATGTATCATGATGCAAACTTGGTGAGTTTGCGGTTCTTTTCATATATAGTCATCTTTGTATGTTTAATACTTCGCAAAATATAGTGTTTTGAAATGGAATGAATCATTTGTAGTAACTCTGTATAAGAATTAAGGTCGGGTGAATGTGCCTGCCAAATACCAATGCTGATATTTCGTTAACTGGTTTATTCAAGAACCTACAAATAACGGCTACAATTAATTATAACACAGTTGCGGGGTTTCACACTTTATAACCCTAATCACAATAATCTGTTCACACTGTTGCGGGGTTTCACGATTTATAACCCTATTCGCAAATCAGGTCAATCACTCTTCAGTAGTCTACACGTTTAAAGTAGGGGAGCTGTGTATCACTGTATCACACACTCCCAATTACACAATTACACACACGTCCGGTTCTTCTTTCTGCGATGGCTGCTATACTCCAACTGTAGTCGGCTGACTGGAGTACTGTTGATAACACACTCGCTCGACTACTACTTAACTCAGCTACTGCTACGTTACAACTGACTCATAGTTGCTGTGCAGTTCTCTTATATAGGGGCTGTGTGGGCCTGTTACGTGCCACGTCACAGTAGGAAGCGGTGCCGTGTCACCGTGTTTCCGTATAGCCTAGAAA